GTCGCGGGCCGCGGCGCGCTGGTCGACCACGGCGCGCTCCAGCCCGGCCAGGGCGGCGTCGACCGCCCCGCTCGTCTCCCGGAACCTGTCCGACGCCTCGCGCGCCTCGGCGCGGGCCTCGCGCAGCCGCCCGGCCCGCTCGGCCTCGCGGCGCTCCTGCTCCTTCCGTTCGGCCAGGGTCAGGGCCTCGGCCAGGTCGTCGGCCTCCTCGGCCGCGTCCCGGCGGGCGCGGCGCAGCTCGCGGGCGCGCTCCTCGTCGCCGTCGAGCAGGGCGGCAGGGATGCCGTCCTCCGCCTCCTCGTAGCGCCTCTCGGCGTCGGCGCGCCGCCTGGTCAGTGCGTCGAGCATGTCGTTCGTCCTCCGTGCGTCGTCGTGATCTGCTTCTACCGATACCGCGCGCGCCCGCGCCCGGGGTGCCAGCGTTGTGCCCCGGGGCGCGAAACGACGGCGCGACGGGCCCGCCGCCGGGCCCGTGCGGCGGGCGTCACGGACACGCGCATGGTCGGGAAGGGGAATCGGGGACGGGTGGAGGGACTTCCCGTCAGGTGCGCCGTTCGCCAAGGCGAGACGGTATTGCTATTCGAGTGAATCTACTCAAAGTTTGCCCATTACATGGGCCTCAAACCTATTGCCGAACTGTTCGGCAAAGTTGCGATAATCAGTCACCATCGTCTGACGCAATTGGACCACTCGACCGTCTACCCGCAATTCTGTTTTGCCGTGGGCGATATCGTTCCGAAGTTGATTGAGATGATTCAGTTTCCGACAAACTGTTTCGTTGTTGCACTTCTGCCAACGCAGACCACTCAAAACGTCCTCTATCCCAAGCCGCAAAAACAATCGGGTGATGTTGTTCGGGTTCGGGTTGCCGTTTCTACTATAGGATTTCTGGTATTTCGAAATGTCGCCAATTCTTCCAAGTGGCGTTAAAACCTGTCGGGACGCTTCAAGAAAGACGTCCTCAACGAATGACTGAATCACCGCGCTCATCATTACGATAGAGGCTCGTTGGACAGCTAACCCCAACGTCTCTCCGTTCTCAATGGGAGGGCGACCATGTGGCTGATTAACTAGTGCCTTTCTGGCCGCAATAAGCTCGTCAATGTGCCGAAGATCAAACGGAACAGGCATATCGCACCCTCCTATTAGTCTTTGGTCTGTCCGTCTATGCGGGCTCTACTCCTCTGCGAGCCGGGCGATCACTCCGGCCGGGTCGGCGCCGAGGGCCTCCATCACGGCGAAGAACTCGACCACGTCCAGCCGCCGCTCGCCGCCCTCGTACTTGGCGACGTAGGACTGGGGCTTGCCCAGCCGGGTCGCGACCTGCTGCTGGGTCAGGCCCGCGGCGCGCCGTTCCTCCCGAAGCAGATCGAGGAGGCGCTCATGTCGGCGCGAGTAGATCGTCTTGGTCATGGGCCACCGGCTGGAAGTACCGGCCACCCCAGTAATCCCATTTAAGGATTATCCCAAAATAGGATATGATCGAGAGGTCAGACAAAGGAGAAGTGCCGATGGCCTACGACCTCTCGATGCGCCGCTGCGACACCTGCGAGCGGGAGACCCTTCACGTCCGGGCGCGGCGGTCCCTCGCCGCACGGCTCGGCGCAATGCTGATGCCGAGCGGCAAGGACCGACCCGCCGAGTGCGTGATCTGCGGCGCCATCGCCAACCCCGAGGAGCGGCACCCGCTCAGGCTCAGGCTCGACGCTCGCGGCGGCCTGCGACACCGCCGGTCCTGAGGGCGCCGGGCCCGTCGCCGGGTCCGTTCGATTGCCGGCGGTCCAACTCCATGGAAACCTAACCCGATTTTGGGCCGATCGAGGGATACCCGATCAGGTGCGTCCCGTCGTCGTGTCCGAGCGCGGTGCAGCCGTGAAATGTGGATCAAGGGAGGGAAGAGGATGGCAGCCGAAGACCCAGCCAGCAATTACGACAAGATCAGGAAGAAGGAGCACAAGGACCGCAGCCGAAAGGAACTGTACGTCACCGTCGAGTTCGAGGGCGCCACGATGCACGACAAGGCGCTCGCCAAGGCCGAACTGGCGAGCCGCGACTTCTGGGACCGCATGAAGGTGACGGCCGCTGGGTCGTTCCTCGGCGTTCTGTTCGGGACCCTGGCCGGCTTGACGGTTGGCTCGTTCTAGGTGTTCTCTCCCTCGACCCTCACGTACGGCAGCGACTTGGCGAAGGCCAGCAGCTCGCCGTCGAGGTGCGCCAGGGCGGCCCGCTTGTGCTCCGCCGACGTCCAGGGCGTCCTGATGCCGCGGGCGAACTCGTCGTCCAGCGAGCCTTCGCCGCTGCCCACCGCGTCGCGGGTGCGGACGTTCCGGTCGTGCGCCCACAGCCGGCAGCCGTCGGGGCGCACGAAGTGGACCTCCAGGCCCTTGAGGGCCAGGGGCGCGCCGCAGTTCGGGCAACGCCGCCGCTCATCCTTCATCGTCGGCCTCCTCGAAGTCGCCGTCGTCGTGAACCAGGGTCAGGGTCGGCGGCGCCTCCTCCTCGCCGCCGCGGTCGTCGACCAGGAGGGTGCGCTGGTCGACGCGCAGCGCCTCGTCCTTCACCAGCTTGCCCAGGAGGGCGGTCAGCACCTTCGGATCGTAGTCGACCAGCCGGCGGTAGGTGACCGGCTCGAAGTCGTCGTCGAGCACGGGGTCGCCGGTGCGGGGGTCGACGGCCACGGCCTCGGCCACGTAGCCGGTCGCGGCGAGGGCCTTCTCGACGACCTCGTCGCGCATGGCGTCGCGCCTCAGCTCGAAGGCGACGTTCCAGGCCCTGTTGAAGTCCGGGTCCTCCCGCCATGCGTAGACCGTGCTCCGGTTCAGGTCGAGGCGCGCGCACGCGCGCGACACGTTGCCGTGCTCCACAATCTCGCTGAGGAAGTCCTCCTTCGCCCTGGCGGGCAGCATCGCCGATCCTCCGTCTCCACCGGGCCCCGCGACGGGCCGCGACCGGCGCCCCTCGTAAGGGGCTGAACCGGAAGGGCTTTCCGGCCCCATTTCGGGGCGCGTGACCCGTGGTCCATTGCGTCCGGCGGCGCCTCGCGCGCGCGAGCCGGCCGGCCGCTTCCGAGACCGAGAATGACGCCTGCCGGCCTCCCGGGGAGCCAGCGTTGTCCGGTTCCGCCCGGTCTCCCCTCGGTCCAGGCGGGGCCCTCCGGCACGGCGTTGAGCTTGTTGAGCGCGATGAGCTCGTTCTTAAACTTTCCGGGCCGAACGCCGCTCCCGTCCCCCTGACGACCGCCGCCTCGGCTTTCGATAACAAGCTCAACATGCTCAACACGCTCAACAGGCCAAGGAAACCAAGGCCCCGGCGCGTTGAGCGAGGCCGCCGCCACGCTCAACGCTCAACGCCGCCGGCCCCGCCTCACTGCGAGCCGCAGCGCGCCTCAGCGCCCCGGCTTCCGGTAGCCGGCCGCCGCCCTGTCGCCCACCCGGACGCCGCGGCTGTACTCCCAGCCGACCGCCGGGCCCTCCATGATCGAGCGCAGCTTCTGGCTGGCGTCCTTGCTGCGCCTGGGCACGTCGATGCCGAGGACGTCGAACAGCTCGGCGGTGTGCACCCTGTCCTCGGGCGGCGCCTTGACGCCCGCCAGGTCGCCGCCGTCCGCCCAGTCCCCGATGCCGAGCTCGGCGTCGAAGGCGTCGTTCGCCCGCCGCTCCAGGAAGTCGAGGATCGGGTCGGCCCACGGGTCCTCCGAGGTCTGGTCGGCCTGGTGTTCGGCGGCCATCGCCCACAGGTGCTTCGGCAGCACGACGCTCGCGCCGTCCGCCTCCATCCGCGCCGCCTCGGCCCAGAGCTGGTCCCGGTCCCGCCGGATCGCCTCGACGTCGACCTCGCCCCTGACGGTCAGCGGCCAGAAGCGGCGGTTGCCGGTGCCGTCCTTCAGGTAGCCGCCCTCGTTGACCGTGCCGACGAACACGCAGCGGCGGGGCATGTCCATCACGCCCTTGCCGTAGGGCGGCCTGACCCTGTCCACCGCCCTGGAGCAGAACGCCTTGAGCGTGGTGACGTCGGCGCGCCTCAGGCCGTCGAGCTCCGCGAACTCCTGTGCCCAGATGCCCTGGAGCAGCATGGCGGCGTCCTTGTTGCCGAGGTTGCCCAGGTCGGCGTCGGACGACCAGTCGGCGCCGAACAGCGCCTGGACGCCCGTCGACTTGCCCTTGCCCTGCGCCCGGCTCCTGAGCACCGGCATGGTGTCGAACTTGCAGCCGGGCTCCCGCTGCCGCCGGACGGCCGCCACCATGAAGCAGGCGGACACGGCCCTGGCGTACTCGTCGTCGTCTGTGTCGAAGTAGTCCGGGAACAGCCGACCGACCCTGGGCGTGCCGTCCCACTCCAGCCCGTCCAAGTAGTCGAGCACCGGGTTGAACTTGTGCTCGTAGGCGACCGTCATGGCCGCCTCCCAGACGTTCTCCCGGGACGGCTGGAAGTCGTTGCCCTGGTGTCGCTCGATCAGGTAGTGGCGCAGCAGCCTGGCCGTGTTGTCGTCGAGCGTGCGCCCGTACGCCTCGTCCCAGGGCAGGTCCTGGGCGGTGAAGACGGCGCGCTGCTTCAGCTCGTCGAAGGCGAGGCCGACGCCCGACCTGGCGACGGCGGAGATGGCGTTCGCGATGGTGTCGGGCGCGGTGCCCGACTTGCTCACCGACAGGCCGCGCATGGCGACGGGCTTCGGCTCGGGCAGGAAGGCGATCTCGCGCGACCCGGCCTCGTCGTCGAAGTCGTCGGCGGCCGGCGTCCTCGGGATCGCGTCCTCGCGCCCCGCCTCGATCAGCAGCCGGTGCAGCGTGCGGTGCGTCACCCTGGGCCCGTCGGCGTCGGCGTGCAGGCTGTCCCACCGCCTGCCGACCTCCTCGGACCTGTCGGCGTAGTCGGGGTCGCCCGCCGACCAGGCGACGAACTCGGTCCTGGCCGATCCGCCCGAGGCGTGGTGGCACGCCTGCATGACGGTCAGCCACTTGTCGTGGTCGCGGAAGTCGGTCGGGTCGAGGACGGACAGCATCGCCCCGACCTCCTCGGCGGTGTGCTCGCCGCCGCCGCTCGGCGTCGCCTCCGATTTGGGCCTCGCGATCAGGTCGAGCAGCGCGCCGGGCGCGGCCGGCGCTTCGGGCAGGGGCGGCGACAGCGGGTCCCACCGGTAGGGGCGCCCCGTCGTCGGGTGCACCGACCCGGCGGCGACCACCTGCCGCCCCAGCGTCTTGAACTCGACGCCGGGGTACGTCTCCAGGCGGTCGACGACCGGGACGTCCTCCGGCTTGGTCAGGTAGAGGTGGGAGCCGCCCGAGCCGGTCTCGACGCGCGGCCAGGCGCTCTGGTCCAGGCCGAGGTCGCCGAGCAGCCGGCTCAGGCCGCCCTCGCCGCCGTTCCTCGGGTCGACGTCGATCACGAGCTGGGCGGCCGTCAGCCTGACGCCGACGTTGCCGCCATCCTCCATGTGCGCGGCCTGGTCGTCCGACTTGTACGGCCGGCGCGTCCAGTTGTCGTGCAGCGGGGTCTTGCCGCGCTCTCGCCCCCTGCCGTCCCTGCGGTCCCAGCGGTGGAGCGGGATGAGCTGCCATCCGGCGTCGAGGTAGGGCCGGAGCTGTTCCGGGTCGGTGCGCGCCTCAGCCATCGGACCGCCTCCCGGCGCGCATGTGCGCCTCGACGTCCGAGCGGCGGTAGAACACGGCGTGGCCGCGCTTGTGGTAGCGCGGGCTCCGGCCCTTGGCGCGGTAGTCGCGCAGCGTGTCGGGGGTGAGTCCCATGAGCCGCGCGGCCTCGGCGTTCGTCAGCCAGTCGCGCTCCAGGTCCTCGAACGAGGGCGTCGCCGGCCCTCCGGTCGCGCTATCTTCTTCCATGACATCGGGCTCCTCGGCTTGTTGTCACCACGGCCAGGCGGCGCAGTCGTCCTCCGCAGCCGCCGGCCGGTCCTCCTCCCGGGCCCGCCGCCACCGAAGCGGCGGGCCCGGTCTCTATCTGCATGCTGCAGTGCGCGGCTCTCCCGCTGAAACCAGCGTCCGCGGGCAACGCTGTTGGCTCAGTGGTCGGCTTCGGTCCCCGTCAGGGTCCGGGCTTGGGCGAGCTCGACTTCGAGGCCCAGGTAATCCGACGGCAGCCCCTCGCGCACGAAGGTCTCGGCGTCGACGTAGCGCTGCATCGACCGGCACCAGAACAGGCCCCAGACGCCCGACAGGGCGACGTCGACCAGCCACCGGGCGTCCGCCGGCAGGTCGAGCACGTCGAACGCCCTGTGCAGAACCCGGATCGGGTGCTCGTCCCGCCCTGCGATCAGGAAGGCGCAGTCCAGCAGCGTCTGGAAGGCGAGGCCGGCCTCGGGCGGCCAGTCGTTCACGTGCCCCGGCGGCGGCAGCTCGGGCAGCTCCAGCTCCTGCACGATCACGACAGCGGCTCCCGGCGGTGCGACGCCATCCAGTCGCGCAGGTCCGACACGGCGTAGAGGACGCGCCGCCCGACCTTGTGGAAGGCCGGGCCGCCGCCCTTCATCCGGTGAATGTCGAGCTGCTGCTTGGACAGGCCGAGGAAGCCGGCGGCCTCCTCGGCGTTCAGGTACTCGCGGTCGGGCCGGCCGATCTTCGCCTCGATCGCCTCCAGCCGCTCAAGTATCTCGGTCTGCATGTTCGGCTCCTCGGTGCATTGCGCTTGCACCAGGATGCCGGCCGTCAAGTCCCCCGTAACCCATTACTTCTCACCGGGGCCTACCGGTACGCGGCGAGCCGCTCGCAGATGCGCTCCTGCTGCTCGCGCAGGTGGCCGACGAGGTGCGCCCGCGTCACGTAGCCGAACGACACGTGGGTGGCGGCGTGGTTCATCAGCATGGTCACCGACTGGAAGTCGACGCCGGCCTCGAGGGCGTGGGTGCGGTAGGTGTGCCTCATCTGGTGCGGCGCGTAGGGGAACTCCTGCGTCCGCCGCATCTGCTCGATGTGCCCCGTCTTCGAGCTCGGGCTCGGGAACACGAACGGGCTCTCCAGCGGCGCCGTCTCCTGCCGCACCCGCTCCAGCTCCTGCGTCAGCAGCCTCGGCAGCGGCGTCCGGAAGGACCGGTCCGGACCGCCCTTCGGCGAGGGCACGAACAGCACGCCGTCGGCGTCGATGTGCTCCCACTTGATCGAGCGGGCGTCGCCGCAGCGCAGGCCCGTCAGCAGCATCGTCAGCCAGCAGGCCGCCCGCGTCCTGTCCTCCAGCGCGTCGAGCCGGCGCCACAGCTCCGGCATCTCGTCGGGCCCCACCGCCCAGTCGCGCTGGCGCTCCCGGTTCAGCCGCACCGCCCTCGACACCGGGTTGGGCGGCAGGTCGTGGGTCCGGCAGACGTCGTTGTAGATCGCCTTCAGCGCCCGCATCGTCCCGTTGGCGCAGTAGGGGCCGCGCTCGCGCGTCAGCCTCTCGTGCAGCGCCCGCACCGTCTCGCGGTCGATCCTGTCCATCGGCAGCTTCCTCAGCTTCGCCAACGGGCCGTCGATCCGGCTCTGGTACCACTCGACGGTCCTCGGCCTCAGGTCGCCGCTCCGCGCGTCGCGGTAGCGCTCCCAAGCCTCGTTCAGGGTCGGCACGGACTTCTTCGGCGTCCTCGGGTCCTCGCCGCGCCTCAGCGCCAGGCGCAGCGCCGCCGCGTCCTCCCTGGCCTTCCTCAGGCCGACCTCGTCGGTCCTGCCGATCACGACCGACACGTACCGGTCGGTGCCGTCGTTGATCCTGCCCACCAGCTTGAACGAGCAGCTCCTCTTCCCCACCACCAGCCGGAGGCCGCTCACCTCCGCGTCGTAGACCTGGGTGCCGGGCTCGTGGTCCTCCATCGCCCTGTTCACCAGGGCCTGCGTCAGCTTCGTCGCCATGATAATCTCCTCTCGTTGCCCCGGGGCCCGAGGCCCGGACGCGGCCCGACGCGAAACAGTGTCCGTCAGGTGCGCATGAGGAGATCGTGTCGCGTTTTCAAGGGGTTGTACGCCCTGATTAGCCTCGACGAGGCCCTGAAAGGCGCGTATCGTCAGGCTCAAAATCGCGTTCCGAAAGGAGTGGGGGTTCGAGTCCCTCCAGGGGCACCAGGGGCGGCGCCGCCGCCGCGCCGCGGCCGGTCCGGCCGGCGAATCTCCCACCTCGAAACGAAGGCCCGTGAGAGGGATGTCGAACATGCGCAAGGCGGTTGTCTCATTCGCAGCTTTGACGGCGGCGGCGCTGCTGGCCGGCTGCGGCAGCAGCGGTCCGGAGCAGCCGCGCGGCCTGGGGCCGGCGACGACCTACGACTGCGGCGGGCTGGAGCTGGAGACGCGGCCGATCGACCGCGACCTGCTGGTCAGCGTCAGCGAGCGGGTCTACCGCCTCTCGCCGAGCCTGGCCGCCTCCGGCGCCAAGTACAGCGGCGGCACCAGCACCGCGCCGGTGGTGTTCTGGAACAAGGGCGAGGAGGCCACCTTCAGCATCGGCTGGCGCAGCCTGCCGACCTGCCGCCAGGTCGCCGGCGCGGCGGCCGACGCAGGCGACAGCGCCGGCGAAGAGGGCGACCCGGCCGGGGAGCAAGAGGCCCCGGCGAGCGGCCCGGCGCCGAGCCTGATCGGCCCCGAATGGCAGGTCGAGGAGATCGCCGGCGAGCCGCTGCTGGAGCGCTCGCGCGTCACCCTGGAGTTCCGCGACGACGGCTCGCTCGGCGGCTTCGCCTCCTGCAACAGCTACCGCAGCGGCTTCGAGACCGACGGCCAGAGCCTGAGCCTCGACGCCATCGCTGCCACCCGCAAGGCCTGCCCGGGCCCGCTGATGCGTCAGGAGCGGCGCTTCCTGCAACTCCTCGACGGGGCCAGCCGCTACGAGATCGACGCCGACGGCAAGCTGGTGATCGAGGCGGCCGACGGCACCCGCCTGCGCGCCGGCCAGGGTTAAAGCCGAGGCCGGCCGACGGGCGGCGCCCCGGCGCGCCCGTCAAGGAGGCGCCGCGAGCGCGGGTTGGTGATCGTCCGACCCGCACCCCTGGGTCCGCCGATCACGCGACACCCGCTCCGCCTCAGAGGGGCGCGCGAAATCACTCCAGGCAGTCGCGGATGGCCGCGGCGTTGCGGCGCATCAGCTCGGCATAGAGCCCGGGGCCGGCCGACAGGTCGGCGCCCAGCGGGTCGAGCACGCCGGCGCGCGCCGGCGTCCCCTCCACTACCACCCGGATCAGCCGCGGCTCGAACTGCGGCTCGGCGAACACACAGGTGGCTCCCAGCGCCTGCACCTTCGCGCGGATCTCCGCGATGCGGCGGGCGCCCGGCAGCACCTCGGGGCTGACGGTGATCGAGCCGGCGACGGTCAGGTCGAAGCGCCGCTCCAGGTACTGGTAGGCGTCGTGGAAGACCAGGAAGGGCCGCTCGGCGACCGGCGCCAGGGTCGCGGCCATCTCGGCAATCAGCGCATCGATCCCGGCGCGCGCCGCCGCGGCGTTGGCGGCATAGGTCTCGGCATGGGCCGGGTCGAGCGCGGCCAGCACGCGGGCGATCTCCCCGACCAGGACCTGCGCGTTCACCGGGTCCAGCCAGTAGTGCGGGTCGTAGGCCGGGCCCGCCCCCTGACCGTCGTGACCCCCCTCGTCGTGACCCCCCTCGTCGTGCCCCCCCTCGTCGTGCCCGTGCTCGTCGTGCCCGTGCTCGTCGTGCCCGTGCTCGTC